CGAGCAAATGCATTTAAGTATACGCGGACTACAGCTCTCCGGCGGCACGAGCAGCTGTGTTATCTCACCGGCATGCACACAGAACCGATGCAACAGACTGCCGCTGTACAAATCCCATAAGCACACGGCGAAATCAATGCCGCCGGAGAGCAGATGGGATTTCTCGTAGCGCGGATGCACCATGGACGGGCACAACAAGCAATTGACGCGTCCGCGATGCCCATACAGTATCTGATGCGAGGGCCAATCACTGAAGTTCTGCTTAATCCCCACGAGCAGCTGCATCATAACCGTCTGTGTTGCCGGCACAATCACAATGCTGCCATCCTCGCGTCCAATGACCAAACGGCTCTGTTGTGGCAAATAAATGCTGGATGTCAGCTTCACCGGCGACTCCGTGATGCGCGACAGCTGATCGAGTATGCCCACCGGCGGTGGATCCATAATCGACCAGGCCTCCACCAGCGAGGTGCAGACATGCGGCTTCTGTATGCGAGGCGGCATTTGCTTCGCTTGCAATATGCTAATGTTATCCAATGGCACCTCCGGCACATTCCATACCGATATATAGCCCTCGGAGTCGCCGCGCAGCAAAAAATGTGTCTGCTGACCCATCAACAGCTTCATGGCCGGCGGGCACGAGAGCACCTTATCGCCGGCATGCTGCAGCACATAGTACAAATAGGGTGCATCGCGTACGACGCTCTTGGAATGGAACTCCTTGTTATCGGGTATACAATTTGCGGGTAACTTATATAAATATCCCTTGCCCTCATCCGTCCAGAGCATAACACGATCTGAGGTGATAAAATCGCCGCCCTGCCAACGTTCCCGGGCCGGGGCTATAACCGAGCAGAGTACGGTGAAGTCGCCGGCATCGTAGATCTGCCAGTATTTGGTGCAAACCAGGAGCACAGTGCGCTGATTCTGCGCGCAACAGTTCATGGTGATGGCATTCAGGCAGCGGATCTCCTTCGACTCATTCTCATAAATGGGCTCCGCGTGCTTGTTCTCGTTGCCTGTCAATGTCCAGACCTTGACGGTGCCGGTGGTCGTGATGGCCAGCACAACATCATCTTTGCGACGCATCGGACGCAGCACATGTATGGCAGATATCCAATCGGGCTTCACCTTGGAGCTGAGCACATAGATCACCTCCAGGCTAAACGGATCCATGACCATAATTTCGGCATAATAGCCAATGCAGAAGAGACGCACATCCTCGCTGTTCGCGGTATGATAGCTTTGGATTTGTGTATGCACCTGGGGCAGCTTGACAGCCTCGGTGCACTTGCCATCGATCAGATCCCAGGTGCACATCTCACCGTTCTCCGATGAACTGACTAGAAAATTATTCTCCGGCAGCAGCGAGGCGCGCACCAGGCACAGCACTGGCGCCGAGTGGCCAACGAGCAGGCAGCGTGGTGACATCTTCAATGTGGCTGGCTCCACTTGCCACAGGCAAATCTGTCCATCGTAGCAGCCGGTGACCAGTGTGCATTGATCGTCCGACAGAAAGACGCTCGATATGCAGTGCGTGGGCGCTGTCGGACCCCACAGCACCACAGGCACAACCAGATTCGTACTCACCATGGTTTTATGGTACTAACACGAGACCAAACCACGACACCAACTCCGACTCCAAGTCCGACTCCTCCTCCTCTTATGCTGACGATGTTCGCTCTATGCTGTGCGTGTGTATCTGTGGGCAAATAACGTTTTCGCCTTATTCTTGTTGTTGTTGTTGTTCTCTGTAAGAATTTATTAGTAAACATTGGACCACAACGTTGCTTGGCGGGGCTACACACTCGAGTCTGTGTGTGTGTGTGTGTGTGTGTGTGCGTGTGTAAACATACAGTGAATATTTTTGATAGTGCACCAAATCGATTTTCAAATGCCCTCCGTATGTCGTTTAAGCTCATCTTCAAAGTGATTTTAATATTTGGAATTGTAGGAAATTCTGACAAGGATTCAATGTGAGGAAAGAGTAAGCATTCTTCCTTAAAACTCTTCCGCGATTCTTAATTGGAAAACTACAATTTCTCTGAGTCAAAGAGAGTGCGATTTTCTCTACCGCCTACGAAGTGGAATGTTAACTGATAATGCGATATCTGATAACAATTTAAATTGTTTTAACTGAAGCTAATCTCGAGAGCTGCTCCAAAAATAACAATAATGTAGATAGGTGGAATCTTTACGGATGCGACACAAGGAGAAAATAGACCAAAAAAATAAAAAATACATGATGATTACGTAACAATTTTCAGGTCCAGCTAAGCTGGCAGCGAAATGTTTACGGATGCAACACAAAAAGGAAGATATTGATTAGCTGCGTTGCCAGCGTAATGTTTACGGATGCGGCACAAAGGAGACGGAACAATAAACGGCATATGGAAAGTTGTTAGTCATGTGGCTGCCCTTTAAGCTGGAATTGGAATAACACATTTTTTACACACACTCATTTCAGCCAAAGTGACTATAAAAATGTAAAAGCTTTTAAAATAAGCCGTTTGTTTTATTTAAAACAATTTAACTGTAGTCGCAGCAACATATGTTTTAGTTTAAGCGAGAGTGCACCATAAAGATACATTACTGTAAAGACTTAGGAGAGATTGCAAAGTCAGCGTATTGAATATCAAAAGATAAACACGACACACACACACACACACACACACACGCACGCACACACAGGCACACACACATGCACGCAAACAAACAAAATTGTGTTATACAATTGAGGCGCTGGAGACAACCTTGCGGGTATAAAAAAAAATACGTCCACCCTCGCAACGCCACCCGCCCTGGGCAAACAATATGTGACCAGGATGAAGAAAAAAAAAAAAAAGTAAGAAAAACAACTGCGTTTCGAGTTAATTTCTCGACAATAAAGACAATATATACACACATATGTATGTGCACAAGACAACAGAGTAGCGCAAGTAAATGGCAAGTGTGGCCGGACAAACAAATGGATGGATGGACAGCCTAGCCAGACTGTCACATATATACTCATGTACGTCACCAGCAGCAGCAGCAGCAGCAGCAGCGGCAGCAGCAGACGCGCGCGCAGGCAATTAGCTGCAGTAACTGAGACAATATGGCAACTACATATGCTAACTGGACACCACAGATGGAGCAGAGCGCTCATCAAATTCTATAACATGCTAAATTAATTGGAGATGACGACGCGTGCGTTGTGCATTTTGGGCTTGAAAAATGATTAAAACGGGCTGCCCAATTGGGTTGCAAACACACGCACACACACACACACAAACACAAACACACAGAAGTGTAGACCCGCCAATAAATAATAATTGTAGATAACTTAGCATTTAGCTAACATTTTGCTGTTGTTGTTGCTGCTGTTTCCGTATTGGTTGGCGCGTGATGGCCTCCTCTCCCACTCCACTCGTTTCGCTTGGGTGTTTTTGTTGTTTTTTGTTATTATTTTTTTTTTTGTTTTTTGTATTTGCAGGGCCTGCTATTGATCCTGATCCGAGTACTGCTGCTGCATTTTTGGTGTTGTGAATAAGTGTTGGCTACCACGCAGCGCAGTTATGGAATGTCGTCGTCGTCGTCGTCGTCGACTCACGATTCTAATTTGAATACACTCCGTCGATTGTTATATTTTATATATATATTTTTTTTTACTGCTGGGCCCCGTGTGTGGCTGTCGCTATCCGTTCAATTACAACACACACACATATATACACTGTTGTTGTTGTTGCTCTTTTTGTTATTGCTATCGCGATTAGCGATTTTTCTCATATGTATTTATACTATTTTGCCCATTGGGGGATTTCGCAGCTATATTATAACACTTTCGTACAAATTGTGGTTGTACTGTTTTGACTCAAGGCATATACATAGATATACGTTCACTTTAACTATCACTTGGTTTTCACTTTGTATATTCTATATGTTTTTTTCTATTTTTTTTTTATTTATTTTCTATTTTTTTATTTTGGTGCACACGAAAATCTGCTGAGCACAGGAAAAAGCAATGAAGATATCGACCGTGGGCTAAAAATTGTCGATAAATTGCTAGAGTTGTCACAACGCCCAACGACACGATACATTCATGCAATTTTTGATTGGGTGACAACTCTGCACTACAATTTTGATATTTTGCTTAAATGTCATTGTTTTTTAGCGTTTTTTATTGTTTCAACGCACATTTCGAACGGATGAAATGCTTAAAATACATTTAATGCAAATATTGCGTACTCTTGCGACCTTTACTGACTTTTTTACACATGCTTAAAACGTAATGTCGTTACCTATTGTCCAACGGACAACGCAGTCAACAATGTACATGCGCTTGTCAAACAAGAATTAATTCATTTTGAGCATACTTATCATATATTAAGAATAGCATGAGTGTTTGCTGCAACTTGCTAGTCTATATTACTTAAAACACATTTTGAAATATGAAAGCACATATGTAAATAAACAAACACACGCTTGTCAACATGAAGGTAGCTGTTGCTGTTGTTTTCTTTTGTATTATTAACGATTTAATCACAATGGAATAGTAAACTATAAACAGAACTGTGTACTTACCGTCTAAAAATGTTTTGTTTTGTTTGTTTTTAACTTTTGCTGCACGTTCTTTTAAATTTATGACAAAATGCTCTTGACACACACTCTTTTGAATGGCGGCTAGAAAAGAAAACCAGCGATGAGTGTTATGCTGTAGGGTTGCTTAACGTATATACATCGATTTATCGAAAATTTTAAATCTTTGATAGCTCAGATTTCAATCAATCAGATATCAATCAATTTCAACAGATTGATATTGTAGGCCAAATATTTATCCATTAATTAATAATTAATATAAAAAGCGGGCGGTAACAATATTAAAATTTTAAACCAGAAACGCCAGTCAATAATATTGTATATTAAGCTACTGTAAACAACACCTAACATTCCTGTTTGTCCTCGTCTCCAATTAGCATACTGTAACCATTTATCGAACATATTCGAGTCTGGTAGCACCACAGTGCGGAGCAGCTCTGTTAAGTGCGGAGCAGCTCTGTTAAGTGAAAATAAATAACAAATGCGGCGGCTGTTACAAAATAGCAATGGACAATTATTTGTCACCCAAATTGTGTCCAGGCACGCAAGCAGCAGTGGCGCTAGCTCCCACGTCCACAAGCCACAAAAGGAGCCGCGAAAACAACAGCAACAGCAGCCTAAGGCCACAACAACACAAACAACAGAAGCGGTCAGCAGAGAAGATAAATTTGGTGCCAAATATTGCATGGGCCTGGTGGAGTAAGTAGAGCCACATGGCGCATTCCCTGCCACACTACTTAACAATTCTACATAAAATTGGTACAGAAAATTCGATTATGAGAACTATTTGACCACTCTGCTACTGCCAAAGGAGCTACGTCCCGCGGCATTTGCTCTTCGTGCCTTCAATGTGGAGGTCTCCCGCGCCGTGGGCGCCCAGGTAAGTGGACAAAATATGACGCACAGTACACACAGTATATAAACGTAATTGAGTGCTTGCAGCTGAGTGAGCCACAAATAGCTAAATTGCGGCTTAAGTTTTGGTACGATTCCATAGACAAGTGCTTCGAGCCAAAGTCAAGTAGTTCCTATGTCAAGGATCAGCCCGTGCTGCGCGAACTGCGACGCACGGTGGGCACAACCAAGCTGAACAAGCTATATTTACGCCGTCTGGTTACCGCACGCGAGCGTGCTCCCAATCAAGCATTCGAGACGATACGCGAGCTGGAGGACTATGCAGATCAGACCTGCTCATCGCTGCTGCATCTGCTGGTGCAGCTGAGCGGCATACACGATATACAGGTGGATCATGCTGCCTCGCATTTGGGCAAGGCACAGGGCATTTCGATGCTGTTGCGTGCCATACCGCATGCCGGACGCCAGCAAGCGGTTTGTGTGCCGCTCGAGGTGCTGGTGCGGCATGGCGTCAGTCAAGAGCGCATCCTGCGCAGCCAGCGTGATGACAAGGGCGTCGAGGAGTGCATCTTTGAGGTGGCGAGTGCGGCCAATGCACACTTAAAATTGACGCGGCAGCTGTTGCCGCAAATGCCGCGGCTTGTGCGCAAGATATTTCTGCCAGCCGTGCCCACTGAGGGCTACTTGGAGCGCTTGCGCCGGGCGCGCTTTCAGTAAGCGACAAAAACAAAAATAATGAATTCAAATATCAATTTAAACGTTTTCACTCTGCATAATTTCAGGCTTACGCATCCGAGTTGCATCAAACGGGACACCATGTTGCCGGCGCGTCTCTTCTGGAAGACGCTGTTTAACAAATACTGAAATTGAAATTATCATTAGTGTACGGGCTGTTGAAATTTGTTAATTATTAAAATCAATTAGCTAAAAAGCGTTCATTGAATCTGTTACCAAAGGATCGATAACAGAATCGATGCCCAACACTGGCGACCAGTGTGTATCGATGCCTTGTAGTTGCTGCTGTTTCTTGAAAGTAGCGCGTTGTGGATTTTTTTTTTTAGTTTTTAGTGTTAGAGCAAAGAATCAAAATAAAACATATGAAATGTGTCGCAATTTTTAAATGAATGTTTCTTACAAAATAATATTAATGTACCCATTGTGTGTTATTGCAAATATTTGCAAACGGAGCCGTGCGCCAGGCGCACTTCGAATTCCAAGCACCGTTCTAAGTCTAAGTGAACCAAGCAACAATAATAAGTAAATTTGTATTCATATCAACATTTTATGGTAAGTTCAAAATAATACAAACTTTAAATTGATTGTTTTTGTGCAGGTTCAACTATTATTGAATACGCGCCATTTTTTTTTTCAGTACATGCAAATACAATAAGAATTTTTTTTGCCGCTCTCTATGTTTCGTTGCTTCTACAAAATTAACGGATATTTATTGTGCCCTCTCTCGCCCTCTCTTTCATCCACTCACTGCAAACCTAGCTCAGAGCTGGTCGGGCAGAAGCAAAGCGACAAGGATAGACAAACGCAATAAAGAAATACGGTTACTTCTATACAGTGGCGGCAAATTCCAATAAGAACAGAGTAACCGAACAAAAAACAAAAACAACAACAACAATTATATACAAAATTAGCGTAAAGAAAGTGAATAAGTAATAAACGGGCACAGATTAAATGAAACAAGCTCAAAAGTCGTACATAAACATAATATAAAATATACAAAAAATACATAAAAAACAAAAAAACAAAAAATAAAAAAAAATTTAAATAAAAAAATTAACATAAAAAGTTTTAAAAACACAAAAAAATTAATTAATTAATATAGTTTTACTTTAAACGTAAGCGACATCAACTGCTTTGAGCCATTTTTTATACACAAACTCAAAGCGCGGCCCAACAAATAATTATACTACAAATCCGAATGCTTCCTATGTACACGAGCCGAGCAGAAATGAAGATCTTTGCCACAAATGTTGCTGTTGCCGGCGTGGCGGAGACGGCGGCTGCTGCTGCTGCTGCAACGACAGCAACAACAACAACGCAACAGCAGCAACAACAACAACGCGAATATCGTTGTAGCGCCCAGGTCAAATTCAATAAATACAACAACAAGGCCAACAACGTGGTGCGGCAAACCAAATACAACAACAACAACAGCAGCAGCAGCAGCAACAACAGCAACAGCAGCAACGCGGACAATAAACATGCCAAGCGCCAGCAACAACAGCAGCAGCAACAACAGCAACAGGTGCACTACAACAACAACATGCACAACTTTACGCGCAAGAAATATTTTGGCAGCAACAACTACAATTGCAACCAACAGCAGCAGCAGCAGCAGCAGCAGCAGCAGCAGCAACAGCAACAAGAAGCAACAGCAGCAGCAACAAAGCTGTCTAACAACAACAACAACAACGTGATGAAAAATCAAAATATTATTGAAGAAATAAGCTGCAAGCATAGCAGCGACAGCAACAACAACAGCAGCAACAGCAGCAGCAGCAACGACGGCAACAACAACAGCAACAACAATGTTGTTGTTGTCACAAAGCAGCAACAAAAAGCGAACAACAGCAACAACAACACCAAGAAACGCAACTCGCTGTCATCTTCGGCAGAATCGAGCAGCTCGTCGGCGTTTTATCACAGCTGCTCCGAGTCATCAACAACGCCGGCAGCCAACAACAACAGCAGCAACAACAGCAGCAACAATGATGACCGCCAACAACAACCGAGCACAGCAACAACATTGGCAACTGCAGCAGCAACAGCAGCGGCAGCAACAAAGCAACAACCAACAGCAAACGCATTGGCGCAACAACAGCAACAGCAACAGCAACAACAACAACAGCAACAGCAACAACCACAAATGGACAACAGCAACAAGACGCAGAGGTCGAGACAACAACCGTTGTGCTTCTGGAAGACGAGCTATCCACAACAGCCCACAATGCAGCAGAAGGAAGTGAGCTAACTGTTAAAACAAAGTCCTTAACCTAATACATAAGGGTACAAATTCCAGGCCAAAAAGGGTTCCATTCATGCTAGGAAAGGCAATTCATTTGGAGAATTCTAGAATCATGTTAGAATTACAGAAGCTAAAGCAACAATAGTTTGTTTAGCTTGAACAGTGAAAAGTCCAAATAATGCTCGAGCTCTGTTTAAAAAATTTCAATTTAAAATATTAAGCATGCTATAAAACTCTCTTGCATTAAAGAAACTCGAGCAATATTTTGGCAGATGCCTTTAACATTTGAATCGAACAGCAGCTGTCTCTAAACCCTTAAGCCGAACCGGTTCGAACCCTGAACTATGAATCTTTAATCGATTTTTTTAAACTTAAATTAAACAATTCGTACTTGGTTAAATAAAAAGTCTTGACTCAAACCCAAAGCAAACCTTGACCCCCAAACTTGAGATTTGGGAGCGACCAGTTTTGGGTTGAGCTCAAATGTAGCCCGCATTTCTCTATGAAAATATTTACAGCGTCCAATATTTTCAGTAGAGCGGGCAGTTATATATATAAAAAAAAAATTGATTTCTTTTATTTAACTAAAGTCCAGGCTTACGAAGCGTAGCTCAAGGTAAAGTTAGGGTTCGAACCGTTAAACGATTATTGCCCTATTCTTCCATTCAAACAGTTCGCATGACTTACACTCAAATAATTGCCATAAAAATAACTATTTAAAGATTAATTCATCAAAACTAAAAGTTTCATTTATTCTTATATATTGTTCGTTTCCTCGATCGGCCCCGGAATTACCCATATAAAATATACTTGCAGATTCTAAGGAAATCGAAATGAACTAAATCCGAGCTTAAAGAGACTTTGATAGGCTTAACTTGCCGAAAGCTCATAGAATAAAGCAATAATCTATTGTATTTTCGATACTCGTAAAGAAATTACCCGGCATTGCACGGCTTAAATTAATAACGATGAAAATGCAAGTTAAAGCGAAATCGTTTTGTGTATTTAACGCCAAGTTCTACTCTACTAATTCAAGTGGAGCTCGATCCCTTAAATTCGAGGCAAGCAAAAGTTAATTGTTAAACATTATTGTGTCAGCAATTAGATAAATATATACAATATCTGCAAGCATATTCAACTCTTTGGAATACCAAAGTTAGTCAACTTTTGATTGCTTTACTATTAACATACACTTAAGTATTTCGCCCGCTTGCTACAGCAGCAGCTGGAGGCGGCGCTGGCCACGCAAAAGGAAACGGAGCTGGCTCTGGCAGCAACAGCAGCAGCAGCACCAACATCATCGGGAGCCGGAGGAGCAACAGGGGATCAGCAGCAGCCGCATTATTATCCATATTATTACTCACAGCCCAAGCAGCTGACAATTGCATCGTTTCTGCAAAAGGAGCTGCTGCCCGATGCGGACAAGGCCAACCAGCAACAGCAGCAGCAACAGCAACACCAACAGCAGCAGCAACACAAGCAACAGCAGCAATCGGGCGCCTATCAGCAGCGTTATCGCAACGGCAACTATAGCTACAACCACAACAACAACAACCACAACAACAACAACAACCACAACAACAACTATCAACAACAGCAGCAGCAGACGCACACACATCATGCACAGCAGCAACATCACAACAATCACATGCACAACACGCACTTTCGCCGCAACAAGAAGCTGCACTATAGCAACAGCAACAACGGCAACGGCGGCAACAGCAGCAGCTGCACGCCAGCAACAGCTGCACAGAATTCAATTGAAATTGTGCCCGCCAGCAATTATAATGGCGCACATCGGCGCATGCAAAATGTTGCTGTCGCTGGCGGTGCTGCTGCTCAAATCAATCATGTTGCCGGCAAGAGCGGCTACTATCAGCTGCAACATCAGCAACACCAACATCAGCAGCAGCAGCAGCAGCAACATTATCATCAGCTAATGTCTGGCAGTGGCACGCCCACAAGCGCCGAGCATCAGAATTTCTATAATCTGACCTATGTGAATGTGGACGTAGATGTGCAGCCGCCGGCAGCGGCAGCAGCAAAAAAAGCAGCAGCAGCAGCAGCAGCTGCAGCGGCAGGGACAGCAGCAGCAACTGTTGCTGGCATACAAATGGCAGCAAAGTCCGTGCCAGCAGCAACAACAGCTGCAACGACAGCAGCAGCAACTGTTGCAGCTGCAGCCAATCGCAACAACATGTTTTTGCAGCCGCCGCCAGCGCTGCAATTGGCCATGCTGGCGCCAGGCATATTATCGCCTGCGCCACTGACGCCGGAGGCGGTGGCTACCACGCCCACAAACATGATAAGCTGCGCGCAATTGGACGAGGCGATAACAGCAGCAGCAGCCAGCAGCACGGCCAACAGCACCAACAGCAGCAGCAACAGCAACAACAAGAATGTGGAGCTCTCCGGCCTGATGACTGTGCCCAGTCCCAGCTTTGCAGCGCTGCCGTTCATGCTGCACCAACAACAACAACAACAACAACAACAGCAGCAACAGCAGCAACAGCAGCAGCAACAGTTGTTCCCAAACAAAGCACAACAGCAACAGCAGCAGCTCTTCTTTAGCTTTGGCGATGGCTATAACAATGCCGCCGCCGGCGCCTGGTCACATGCCAATTCGCCTTGCTATCCGGCGGCCGCTTTTGGTCCAAGCCCGAGCAGCATTTCCAGCGGATCAGGGCACAGTCGCATTCCCTCGCATCGCGCCGTCTCGCCCGCCTCGTCCACGTGCTCGCTGGCAAGCGAGTCGCAATGGAGCAGTCGCAGTCGGTGGGTGTTGAACAACATATAAGCATTAGTATACCCGGTATACCCTGTAATTATAATGTTAACCAGATAGACTAGCCTATATTGATCCCAAAGACAATTCAAGTCCTGTTTGTCGCATCTGTCTTTCAGTTCACGTTTATTTATAATAATATACCCTGTACATACTGTCGAGGATCTAGTTTGGTTCAAGTTTCCGATTACACTCAACTTTAGGCTAAAATCGATAATTATCGATGTTTAGTCCCAGTTTTTAGAGCCTATATCACGGAATTTTGAAGGCAGCGATTGCGTTAAGCTAGAACGCACTGGTCGGGAGTGCCCGACTAGCAGATACCCTAAACCCAGAATAGATTACTTTCCTCATTCCGAAGCTATGCGAGAGTCTACATACTAAATTCTAGATCAAGCGAGAACAGAATATCGCTAAAAATCGGAATCGATTTCATGGAAATGGGATAAGCGATCGATGATTTGCAAAAAACTTAAACTGCATCCCAAATTTGAAGATTCGAACTCTTATAATTTGCGAGATCGAAGCGTTTATAAATTCGGAAGGACAGGCAGACAGGAATATTTATAAAGATATGTTTTATGTGTGCGGCGACAGAACTCCCACCAAATATTACACTTTTGATTATTTGATAATTGCCTCTCATATTTATCCTACGCAGATTGACGTCGTCGGAGCTGTTGTCCGTGTCGCCGACGCCGCCAGCCACGGGCACAGGCACCGTCACGGGCAACGGGCCCGCTGCCATGCCAGCACCGAGTCAACAGCTGTCGCCACATCTGGTAGGATCGCCGCATATGCCCGGCATTGCGAATGGCTTGCATGCATTGTTGCCGTTTGGTATACCGCCGCCGCCGGCACCAGCAGCGCCGCCGCCGCCGCCACCGACGGGCACACACAATCTGCCCGTGAACGGGGCATATCCGCATTATTGTGGGCCCAATTGCGGATGCGGCGGCAGCGCAGCCTGGCCGGCATCCTGGTATGAGCTGATCTTGCCGCCGGATCGCTATCTGGACCATGCACGCAACGTGGAGCTGACCATGCAGCCGGAGCAACTGATCTGTCATTGCAAATACGACAATCTGTCGCTGGACATATGGAAACGGTTTCGTGGCGCACAGCAGACGCACGCCAAGTTCAAGCTGAAGATGCGTCTGTGGCGTTATCTGTTCATCGGCATAAATGTGAGTGAGGTGGAAACAAATGCTATGCTCAAACGCTTAACATATTTATACTTATAGCAGCTGATGTTCTCGCGCTATCGCATCTGTTTGGTCGGGTCGACCATAACCGGCTTTGGCACGGACTCCTCGGACATCGATATGTGCCTGTTGCCGGAGCAGCAAACGCATCAGCAACAGCAGCAGCATCATTATCACAACGAGCTGCGCGCCGAGGCACTCATGATACTCAATCTGTTCAATGCTGTCCTCAAGGAAATGGGCAAGTGCCACACAAGTTAGCGCATGACTAGTGCAGCTTAAGCCCACGATAAATCTCTGCTTAACGCGCTTTCAAGCTCACTTAAGTCTAAAGAGTTCTTAAACTCTAATTGGTATTTGTAAATTAGTCTTAACATGCTAGAGAAGCTCTTGTAGCTCTTGTTAAACATTTCTTTTGAAAGCTAGTCCAAGAAGCTTTTACTTTAAAACTCACTAAAAGCTAAAAAAGCTCTTCAATTCTAAATAATTATTTGTTAATTACTCTTAAAGCTCATGAAATGCTAGAAAAGCTTTGTAGTTCTTGTTAAACATTTCGTTTGTAATACACCCAATTTGTCTAACTTAAAAGCGCCTTGAAAGCTAATCCAAGAAGCTTTTATTACATTAGATTGTTTTGTTATTGTGTCACATTCTCAAAAGCTTTTTGATAGCTGCTAAAGCTTTTCATTTAATCGTATGCTTAGCTGATTTCAAGCAACAATTATCAACTGCTTCATTAATGATCCCATCTTATTGCAGAAGCTTTTCAGGATTTCAATTTAATTGAGGCACGCGTCCCGATCCTGCGTTTCAAGGATCGCATCAACGGCATCGAAGTCGATCTCAACTATAACAATTGTGTCGGCATCAAAAACACATATTTGCTGCAATTGTACGCGCAGTGTAAGTACTTAAGATAGATTTTCCACAGAGAAGTAATCGCCCGTATTTCCACAATCGATATTTATCGATCACACTCAGAGATTTTGTATTTTACGAAACCAAATGTATCATCTAACTTATATCAGACATGCAATTTAAGTTAATTTTCTCGATAATTCACTTGTTCTAAAATCGATAAATATCGATTATTAACGTCAGCTGCTTTGAGCATATCCTTAGATAACAATTTATTTAATCCCAAAATGCGCATTTAATATTTCGTAAAAACATCAAGATTAAGAATTCCTTTTTTAATATTTCGGCTAATTTTCCAAAATCGATAAGTATCGATAAATCTTTGTCTTTGAGCAACTCCAGAGGCTATCACAACTTATCAGAAGATCCCTTAAACCAGAACAACTTTGAACCTGGAAACTCTTGTAAACAAGTCTAACGTACACCTTGATTCCTGCAGTGGACTGGCGCACCCGGCCGCTTGTCGTTATTGTCAAGCTGTGGGCGCAATATCACGATATAAACGATGCCAAACGGATGACCGTGTCGAGCTACTCGCTGGTGCTGATGGTGCTCCATTATTTGCAGTATGGCTGTGTGCCGCACGTGCTGCCCTGCCTGCAGGCGCTGTACCCAGAGAAGTTCAATTTGGGGCAGCAGGAATGCCTCGATCTCGATCTGATAGAGCCCATCGAGCCGTACCAGACGCACAATACACAGACCCTGGGCGAGCATCTGTTGGGCTTCTTCAAGTACTACAGCAACTTTGAGTGAGTTTGTGAGATGAAGAGGGAAGACGATGCCGATAAATCTATATGTGTATATAATGCTTACAGCTATCGGAACAATGCCATATCGATACGAACCGGCGGTATTTTGCCCGTCAGCGCCTGCCGTCTGGCCAAGAGCCCCAAGAACGACGTGCACCAGTGGAAGGAGCTGAATATTGAGGGTGAGCTGTTCGCTAATCATTCGATTTGACAATTCAATTTGATGCCGATTGCTGCTTCAATTTGTTAGAACCCTTCGATCTGTCCAATACGGCGCGCTCCGTCTACGACTTTGCGACCTTTGAGCGTGTCAAGGCGATATTTGTGTCGACGGCGCGTCGACTGGAGCACACATTGGACTTGGCCTCCATCTTTACGCCCATCCATTACACCCAACGCCCAACGCCCATGCACCATCAGCCCCTCCTGCATCTCCATCCGCATCCCGCCCACAACAATCATCCATCAGCCCATCAGCATCTGCTGCACGCCCGCAACTCCGCCACGACGGCGCCATCCAAACTGGTCACAGCGGGCAGCTATGCGGCGCCGCCTGCCTCGCATCTGGTTTAGGCGTTAAGCCACATCGTATGTGTGCGGCATCTCTGGATGATATGCCTGCTTGTCATTGAGCCGGGCATTTCATACAATCCACAGGTCAGTTGTAGTTGCAAAACTAGGTGTGAATCTCAGGCTTAGGTTCTACAGAACGCAAACAGTCAGAGCTTATATTATAATCTGTTAGTGCACACTAGAACAATTCATTGCGGACTTGCTCAACACTGTTCAGAAAAATACAACCACCTCGCTGACAAATGGGAACTTGTAAATCTCTAACGATCTGTTTTAAAGCTTACATTCAAAGATTTATTCAAAATTAAAACACGCATTTCACGGATTTTAGAAAATCCACTTGCAGCATCGGAAAATGCGCGGAAAACGCATATTTCAGCTGATCGGTGTCTAACTTTAAAAGCTCTATATTAAAACTCGTCTGAATTTAACCCAATATATTCTTTTTGCCCATTTTCAATGGGTTCAGTGTAAAGCACCTCGCAGAAATATCGAGTTACCTATGTAGAAAATGGGGGACTTTGAAGATCTTAGCTACAAAAGACGAACGCACAGACAAGCTAATGTTGCTTCCCATGCTTCAGTATCAGAAATTTCTCAATGAATGTCACATGTAAATCAGAGATCAAAGATCGTGCAAGGGTTAAAAATGCCAAAGAGGCACTCGAAAGGTTCTGTTTGAGGTTCAAACAACGCTTTCTGCCTTAAGGATAATTATATAGATAATTAATTATGTTCAGAACTAAGACTAGGCTTAGCAAGGCTTCAAGACTGTGTGGAAGCCCAAGATTCTATAACTGTGATATGAATAGAGATTGTCAATGTAAAACTTATGTAGAATAATATTATGAATGCCTGTATCCGTGTGCTAAGTTTACGCGTGCGCAGTTAATTGTATAATATATATAATATATATATATTTAAATATTGATATTCAATTATAAATTCAATACGTAAATATATTCACAAATAGCTGTGCACGTGTAGACCGCACTCGACAATATATTTCCAAATCTCTGAAAGAGACTAATACAAATTCGAGCAAACCATCCAATTATAATATAATATGCATCTCTTACAGACCTCACTCGCAAATGCAAACATATTCATCAAAATGAAAATCGATATATATATATATACATAAAAAAGATAATTATTGTTAAACCCTTTGGCTACAAGTTTTCCAGTGCATTTTGTAAATTCAAATTCAATCACACTGAGTTTGGATACCCTTTCATATCTCAACTACATATACACACATATATATATATATAAATAATTCTTGTCCAATGTTCGCTATTTAAATTATATCAAATCGTAGCCCCGCCCCACCCCGTCAATGTAATTGTTAAGTTTCTTTTTCTTCTATTTTTTTTTTTTTTTTTGTAAGCTTGCCAATTATTTTTCCACATGCATTTCCCATTGGGCATGCATTTTGCTAAAGCTTTTAAGACAGTTAGTAAATCGAATCCTGAAATGTGAAAAATGTGTTAATAAGCGTAAGAGCTGCAGAGATGGAAAACCCAACCATATACAGAATGCAACCCAACCAATGTCTTAATTATATTAATCCACACGAAAAATACAAAAAAAAAAAAAATAAAATAAAAAGAAAATGCAACTTTCGCTTAAAAATTGTTCATTTGTTTTGCAAAATTAAATGAAATTCTTTATTCAGAACTCATTCAGAACTTGTTTATTTTCTTTTTCAATTGGGTTGGAAATAATCACAATTTTTACGTATGTGTGGAAAATCCATTTTCTTTGTTGGGTTCTTTTTTCATGTTTTTTTTTTCTGTACTTGGGTTTGTGTTAACAAATTAGCTGGCAGGGTTGAGAGGGGGAGGGGGGGGGGTATGGTAAACCGTTATTTGTGAGCTTAACAAAATTTTCGAATGTTTTTCTTTTTGTTAAAGGGAAATCCAAAACTATTGAAATATATATATGAAATCCATTTCCAAACCGTGTAGAATATATTTTCAACTGTTCGCCGCCAGAGGGCGGTAATGCTTTAATAAACATATACACACATATATATTTATATATTTGTATATATTTAGGTATTTAAAAAATCTTGAATTGTTTCAATTAAACAATATTTAAAATGAGTTCGAATAATGTTTTCCGACAACAAAAAGAAAAGAATCTCCAAACACTTTGAATTATTAAAATATTGTGTTCTGGCCGCCGCTAGAGGGCGCCACAATGCAATTTCAAATGTTTGGAAATATTTGTGGGGCAATTATTATTATTTTTTTTTGTTTTTTTTTTTTGCACTTTCGAAAACAGAAACAAATGGCACTCGCATACAATTAACAAAAACGTTCCTTGGAAAAATACAACAGTGGCAAAAAGTTGGTTTTTAAGTGGAAAAATGCCAAAACTCGAAATAAGCCAGACAAAAACTAAAAAAAAAGAAAAATTCCATTCTAAAAAAAAAAAAAAAAACAAAAAACAAAACGGGTCTAGATTGCTTTTCTGTCCTTTTCTTCAATACCTCTTTTTGTTAGGGCTGGGTTTCGGGTCTAGGTGGAGGTAAGTGAAGCGGCATCATTCCGCGCCTTAATTCGTCGTCAATTTAGAACTTTCTTCTCTTGGGTTTTTTTTTTCGCGTGTTAAAGAAAGAACAAAACATGGCGTCTCGACGTTGTCTCCAGCAACGATTGCATCTGCAGGCGCAGCCCGCGTCTTGCGCTGTCTGGCCGCCGCCGCCGTCGCCCGCTCGCCCATCTGGCTGCATTCAAAGCCTGCGCATGGCTGAGCTGAAGCTGGGAGCTAGACAAAATAAAAAAAAAAGTGTGCCCAGCTACATGTGTTGGCCACATGTGTCAGTGTTGTTTGTCTGTGTGGCCGGCCGCTGCAGCTGCTGCTTCTTTCTTTTTCACTGATGCCGCTTCTACACATCCATTGCTTTCTCTCTCTCTCTCTCTCTCTCTCTCTCGCTCTCGTTCTCGCTAACGCTCTCTGCTTTAACTGTGCCTAGGCTGTTTGCCTGCTCGCTTCTGTGTGGCCGAGTTTAATTGTTTCATAGACTTTTTCCATGCTGCTTTTTCCCATTTTGCTTGCCTCCGCCTCTTCCTTTTGTTGCTCGTTCATGTTGTTGTTGCTGCTGCTGCTGCTGCTGCTGTTGTCGCTGTCGCTGTTGTTGTTTTTGTTTTATCGCCGCTTGCTAACTGCTGCTGCTGCAGCTGCTGTTGCTGCTGCCGCCGCCGCCGCTGACGCTTTCGCTGCTGCCGCCGCCGCCGCCGCCGCCGCCGCCGCTGCTGCTGCTGCTGCTGCTGCATGATGGCTTCAAAGTTCTTACAATTTGTTTGTTGTTTAGTTTGTTGTGTTTGTTGTTGTAAATTGTTGTTGCAATTGTGCGCGCCTCCTCAAGCATCTCAGTAAGGTTGCGAAAATTGGTTCAAACTGCGTTCGCCCGACTGCGAATATCAAAGAGAAAAAGGGAAAGAAAAAAAAAACGACTCTCGTTACTTTAAAATCGCAGCGAATTGTTCTAAATTATATATAGCTTAGAAATATTTTAAAATATATCCAGTTATATTTAAATCAATTAGCTGTTATTCGCATGATACTCGTTAGTAATTAGTTGCTTATGAATGTGACATACTCGTTAGTATAGAGCAACGAGTTCTTGGAATAAATAACCTACTGCAGACGAAATAGGAGAGTTAAAATTGCAAATATAGACTTAAACTGACATGTCTGACTCGTTGGTGTGCTGCAAGTAAATCAAATTAAGATTTAACGAGTTGACTTAAGAATGCGACATACTCGTTAGTATGGAGCAACGAGTGCTTGTAAGCCTATTGCCTATAAAGCAGAGCTATAGCTAATATATAAAGACGTTAACATATCTGCTCGTTGATTTTCAACGAGTTGACTCTAGGATGTGACACACTCGTTAGTAGAGAGCAAAGCGTTTTTGTCTCATATGTGACTCGTTGCGATGCCGCAACTTATCATCTTGCTTTTCAACGAGTTGACTCACACTCGTCACTTGCAATATGCTGAATTATTCATATCTTAAATAACTTATAAATATTAAAAGAAAGTAAAAAGTGTCAAATTGGAATATATAATGGGTTCTGTTTAAAATAAGTTTACTCGTTAGTTTGTCGCGAACGAATTCAAATTGATGTACAGCCAATTTTGTGGATTTAAATGATTTGTTTAAAGAGCAGCAAATTGTCTTAGCCAAAAACTGCTCGCTACTTGGCAGCAACGAGTTGAGCATTGAAAATATAGCAAATTACAACAATTAACTATTCACTCGCTGGTAAGCAGCAAAGTAAAATACAAGAAATTGAATGTTAAATAAATAAATAAGTCTCGTTAGTTTTAACTGCAACGAGTCAAGCTTAAAATATAACGAATTGACTTAAACATAAATTAATCGTAAGTTGATTTATTTCGCTAACTAGTACAATATATAGATGAAGTTACATACATATATTATTCAGATATTCACGATAATTGAAATATTCGTTACGAATACCGAATATATTCAAATATTGTGAATTGCGTTCTGAATCATTCGGTATTCACAGTTGCATAAGTTCTTTGTCTCTCTTCGTAAAATTACTTGGGAGTTCTTCAATATATATTCTCGATTCCAAGCTCTCACTCTCTCTCTTTCTCCCACTCTCTCTCTCTCTCTTTCACACTCCCTCTCTCTTTCTCACTCTCTCTCTCTCTCTCTGTCACTCGCTAGAAGAGCTTGCGCGCAGTCGCTTCATGCTTGCGATTGAGACTGTAAGGACTTACCACATTGAAGGCAACATCCTGGGAGAGCAGTCCATCCATTTGCGAGATCTGGCCAAAGTCCTGCGACAATTCCGGCTGCTGTGAGAGCGCAAATCCGCTCGGCTGTGTCATCTGCAGCGACAAAGCCGTCGGCTGTTGGCTGAACGGAGTCGCTCCGATTGCTGCACTTGCTCCAGTTGCTCCTGTGCCAGTTGCTGTGCCCGCTCCAGCATGGACATTGCCAGCGCGCGCCTTCGACAATTTGCCACTCTTCTTGCCACCCACAATGGGCGGCACATAGCCCGCCTGATTCTGTTGCTGCTGCTGCTGCTGCTGTTGTTGTTGTTGTTGTTGCTGCTGTTGCTGTTGTTGTTGCTGTTGCATGGCACGATTCTGCTTGGCGGCCATGATTGCCTGCTGATGCTGATTGTAGAAACGCGGCGGAAGATTGCTCATGTTCATGAACATGCCCACGGGCACCGGCATGTTGCCCAAGGCGGCGGCGCCATGATCATTCGATATATACCCAATCGAATCGTGCAGATGGCTGGCCGTCCAGCTGGCGGGATTGGCAACGCCGCCACCACCACCACCACCACCAGCACCAGCACCGCCGACACCGCCGCCGGCAGGATTGGCCATGCTGCCGTAATTGTTATTGCCATTGCCGGCACCGTAGCCGGCTGCATTGGACATGTTGTTGCCGCCGGCGCCGGTGGCAACGGTGCCGCCGCCGCCACCATAAGCATTGGATGCATAGTGGCCGCCATTGATTGTTTGTGATTGCGAGCTGGCGGAGATTTGGCGGCCATAGCCGCTGCTGCGCTCGTATATGGAGCCGGGCACCATCACCTCCTTGGCATCGGCCATCATGGTGGACATGAAATGGGCGCCGATGTTCATGTTGTTCACCAGCTTCTTGGGCTTCTGGAAGTGTATGAGCGATTCCTTTAGATTGTTCAGCGAGCCCTCGACAAGCACCTTGCGATCCTTGTAGAAGTTGAGCAAATGATTCCACAGCTGCTGCTTGGCCAGCACCTTGGGATTGCCCACGATGATGATGCCGTATTTGGCGCGTGTTAGGGCCACGTTGAGGCGACGCGGATCGTTGAGGAAGCCGATGCCCTGGCGCTCGTTCGAGCGTACACAGGACATTATGATGATGTCCTTTTCACGGCCCTGGAACGCATCCACGCTGGCTATCTCGATCTCCTGATAGAGACGCGAATGCAAACTGCCCTGATACTGCATATACTGGACCAGATAGGCGCGCTGTCCCTCATAGGGCGTTATGATGCCGATCTGTTCGGGCTTGATGCCCGCCTTTAGGAAGCGTGTCGTGATCTTCTCCACATTGGCCGCTTCGGTGCGATTGAGGAACGAGGTGCCCGAGCCGGCAATCTCCTCCTGGCCCTGCGTTACCAAAAAGAACATCGGACGCTCTGGCTGCGGCCAGGGGAAGTCCAGTTTGAGGCGTCGATCCTCGGCGCAGACGCCGTTCTGCAGCGAGCCCTCGTAGAAGAAATTTGATGGAAATTGCGATAGCTCCGGATGCATGCGATACTGCACCTCGAGACGGAACGGACGTATGCCGAGCACCACCAGACGCTCGAACAGGCTCTGCGAGAGGCCGGCGCGTGCCGCCTTCTTGCACATAACCACCGGACCCAGCTGGCAATGATCGCCGACCAGGATCAATTGCTTGGCGCCGAGCACCACGGGCACCATGCATTCCGGCTCCGTCGACTGCATGGACTCATCAATCAGTATCGATGTGAATTTGATGCGAGATAGACGCACATCACCGGCGCCCACACAGGTGCAACAGATGACATCGGCCGCCTCGAGCAATTGGTTTTCGGTGCCGCGTTTTAGGCTGCGATAGCGTTTCTCATCCGCCGAGCTAAGCTCGCCGGTCTCATCCTTGAGCTGCTGCAGCTTCTTCAGCTCCGAATTGGTTTCCATATTGCGTATTTGATTGTGCAGCGCCAGGAAGCTGACGGGACTATCGATCGCCTCACGGCTCTTGGCACAGACGCGCACCACCTTCAGATTGGTGCGATGAATTTTCTCCGTCAGCTGATCGACAGCCGTATTGCTGGGCGCGCACACCAGCACAGTGCCGGCATGCTGCTTCACCAGCTGGTAGACAATGGTCGCCGAGGTGACCGTCTTGCCCGTGCCCGGCGGTCCCTGGATCAGGCTAAGCGGACGCTGCAGCGCATGCTTTACGGCATACACCTGCGAGCGATTGAGGTCCGGCAGGTGCGGTGCACTGTACAGCTTGGGCTGTGGTCCGCGAAAGAGCACTTCGTCGCTGCCATCGGCACGTCCGTGGCCCAGCAGGCGCGAATAGATGTAATTCGATACGGAATTGCGATCCATGGCAAAGTTGCGCAGAGCGCGTGTCATGCGATCGAATGAGGTGCACTTCCAGATGAAGTCCACGCTAAAATTGCTTGTACACTTGACCGGAGCATTCGTGGAGCACTTCAGCTCCAGGCCAACATCGTCGCCAAAGTTGTCCGGCACCTTGATCACATGGCCAATCTCGTTCCATGGATTATAGAGCTCGCCCACGTAGCGTAAACGCAGCTCGTCGCCATGCATAAGCTTCATGTCCGAATCGGTTTTGGCCAGCGTAAAGTATGCGATTGTCTTTTTGTTTAGGCCCACATCCCAGCGCACTTCGATGTTCTCCTGTGTGGCGGATTCCTTCAGTTTCTTATCGTAGTCCGCCTCGAGGCGCACCAGCGGCCCGAAAGTCTTCTCGTACTGATATCCATCCTCGTAGCGCAGCAGCACATGAGCCGGCTCTGAGTCGATGCCGGGCTTTTCCAAATCCTGCAATTATATCGTATTAATATATCGATAAGAGTTCATACAGTGTTATCGACGGTTTTTTTTTCTCCGCTTTTGCTATTGCTTAATACCAAAATGAACCAGTAAACAAAATAATGAATGCGCACATCGATAAAATACCAAAAATAAATAGCAAGAAAAAATAAGGGTTTGCGCAATTTGCTGCGATTTGAAAATATGCACACACATTGAGACAGTGTTGTCAACAGTCTAGCTAAATGTGGCCTTTTTTTTGGCGGTCGTCAGCCGTAAACAGTTGAAATTGTCAACTATTTCGGCAATCACAATGGGGTAACTCAGCTATTTTGGGCCATTTTCAACATTATTCAGCTACAGTTGGCAACACTGGCAACAAAATATATCGATATTAATCGCTGCACAAGATTTCACGGAATCAATATGTTGATGGCATTGTTATGCGAACTGAATTTCCAAAAATATCAGAAATCCTTGACATTCCTAATTCCTAATTCCAATCCAATCATTCCTTATGCCAATCATTTGCTGGCCCCTCACGTTTATGATGAAATGTGCTCACCTGAAATGTCGCCTCAATATTGTCCTTCCAGAGCTCCTCGAGCTTGTTGATCTGTGCCGCCGAAATTTGGCGTGCACGCAGCTGTCCCTGCTCCGTGGGCTGTTTGACCAGCCAGGGCAAAAAGCAGCGATCGGCAATAAGCGGCTTCCATTGCTCCTGATCCCAGTTCATGTCCTTCAGCGAATTCTGTGCGGCGCACGGCTGGCGACACAGCAACACCACCACCGAATCCGCTTTGGCGGGTATAAAACCCAAAACGAACACATTGCGCACACCGCACGAATAGCACTCGAGTATGGTCTCGCCGAGCGGCCCGTCGCCGTGCAGGGTGACCTCACGATGTTTGGCACGCACCAGATGATTGATAATGTGCGAACCGGAAGTGCTGCCGCGTCCATTGCAAAACCATTTCTTGCAATTGTTACACATGACCACCGTGGCCGGATCGTGTATGCCACAATATTTGCAGGCATGTGCCGGCAGCTCCTTAACATATGCCATATTGCCGCCGCCACCGATGCCGCCGCCGCCGCCCTCATCGTCCTCCTCCTCAAATTGCAGATCGGCCAAATCGTTGGTAATCGAGCCCAGACGTGGATGTATATCATTGTGTACGCTAACACGACGCTGCTGCAAAAGATTCAAACAAAATTGCATGACATTTGTTACACACGCACACACACGCAGGCACGTGGCAAATCCACACTCACCTGCAAATCCAGCTGATCGCCCTGGGTCTGGCTCTGCGATGTGGACGGCATGGTAAAGTCACGATAATCATATTGCGTTGGCTGCGTATCGGCGCCGCGCAGCAGCTCATTGTCATCCATGTCCAGGAACGAGAGCGCCGAGCTCGGCGCATACGTGTCCACACTCATAGCGACTGTCTCTCTCTCTCTCTCTCTCTCTCTGTGTGTGTGTGTGTGTCTGTGTGTATGTTGTTGTTGTTGTTGTTGTTGTTATTGTGTTAATAATAAACGTTGCCGCTACTAAATGCTGTTACAATGTTTAATCATTTGTACACAATGTTCCACAATTTCGTTATTTTGTCTGCTTTTTGTTTTATGACTTTTTTTCTTCTATTGCTTTTTTATTTTTATTTTTTTTTTATTTGGCTGCACGCACTCACCTCGCGCTTTCCGTTTCTTTTCTTTTCTTTTCTTTTTTTTTTTTTCTTTTCGTTTTCGTTTTCTTTTGCCCGGACTGTCAAAGCTGTCAGTTAAGCTATTTATTCCTTACAGGCGCCGTCGCGTACTCAAATTCCATGCATCTGTTAATCACAATTGAACATTTGGTAAATATGCAGAACGTTTTGTTTTGCGCGTGCAATATATTCGTCGTCGTCGTCGAGGCAAATAATTGCAAATAGACGCGTTCAGCACGTTGCTCTCCTGACGGAATCTCAATGAAGACTGTCACTTGCTCAATCAAACAAAAAAAAAAAACAACAAAAACCAAATTCAAGCCTAACTGTTTATAACATTTAGTTGTTTGTCTGTTATTATTGCAGCGCCTGCTATAACATTGCATTTGCATATGTTCGTTTGCTGCTTTTACGTCAAAAAAAAAAAAAAAAAAAAAAAAAAAATAACAAGCAAAAAAAAAAACAACAAAAAAATACCAGCATACAATTTTATTGACAGCCGCGCGCAAAACTCTGCGCCTTATGAAATAGCAAGTTGTTCTTTGTGTTTATGTGTGTGCGTGCGAACTTGTGTGCGCGTGAACTTCAAAAGAGCAGCCGTTCACTGAACTCGTTCTCTTGAGTAATAGACTGTCAAACAAATTTGTATTTCAATTCTATTATAAATAGCGACACCAGCAATACAAATCGAACAAAAACAAACAGCTTTCGAAAAAAAAAATTAAGAAATATATATCTTGACCGTAGTGTATTTTGTTTTTGCCCAGTTCAACGCGCTCAATTTGTTCAACAATATCAGCGTGGCGAGCTATTTGGTAGTTCGCATATGAATTGTTTCACTCTAGTATTTTGTTGAGATTTTCATCATTCACACAGAATATCAAGGTTTTTGTACTTTTAAAACGTGTGGTCACTTTGATGTGTTTCGATGCAATCGATAGATCGATACAGTTGTATCATCCCTAATACCGATTGCAAAACCGACAACTCGCAACTCGCTTGTTAAATTTTCGCATTGAAAAAAAGTGCTTTAATTAGTAAAAGTGTTTTGAAAATTGTGCGAAAATTAAGGTAAGTGTCCAGGCAAAATAAATAAAGCGATAAGCAAAATGCAGCCAAATCGCCAGCGTTGCCAAGTCAAGTGCAAAAATCATCTAATACGGTGTGTGAGAGCGTGTGCGTGTGTGTCTGTGTCGTGCCGCTACGCCAAGCGCGCTGTTGCTTAAGGCCCAGTTGGAACGTGCACATCGCGTTTATAATCAATTTCTTTGTGAATAACGAACAATTCATCCATATATATATATATATATATATATATAAATACATTTTTTATTTGTCTCTAAATACATTAAACAAATCAATGTACAAAAAAACAAATCAAATGGATAAAGTGTAATCAACAAATGAGCGTGCAAGCAGTGAGTGCCCAATTTCCACACGGGTCTGTTGCCCACTACGAATTTCACTGTGCTCGCGGTGTCTCTTTTTTTTCTGAATTTCTTTGCTGCTGCCTGCTGCCTGCTATTTCATGTGTGTGCGTGCTTCTTCTTCCTGCTCGGCACATTTTGTATGAGCGCTTGTCAAAATACGCGTACAAATTTCCGTTCAATCGTGTGTGCGTTGAAAAAATAACAAGCGAGCAAAATATATATTTAAAGCAACATTAATTGCTTTGGACTGGAACAGTAAACGTGTAACAGTAACGGAATTGAATAATAAAAAAAAAACTTTTTTTTTTTTATTTTTTTTTTAACAAATAAACATAATAATCTGTAAATCGAGACGCGCTCTAAAAACTCGTGGACAAATTCGATTCGTTTACTTTTCATTGTGTGCGTGTTGTTTGTACGCGTGTGTCTCTCTGTGTGTGTGTGTATGTTGGCGTTACATACATACGCTTCTTGACGTTGTCCCCCCCCCTCTTTTTTTTTTTTTAAATACCAATCCCTTCCTTTCCCCCTCGGCCCGTTTGCCAGACTTCAAGTGAACGCCACATTCTATGATTAATTTCAACAAATAATTCATCAAATTACGGAAAATAATTCCATTAATGTAGGTTGCAACGCCCGCGCCCCAATGCGGCCGCCAAATGAAAATCCTTTGCATGTGCCCAATAACATAATACCATTTTCTTTTTCTTTTATTTTTATTTTTTTTTTTTTGTCTTCCCAGCAAAATGAGCAGCTCCGAGGAAGTCTCCTGGGTTACCTGGTTCTGCGGGCTTCGCGGCAATGAGTTCTTTTGCGAGGTAAGCCATCGAATCGCACACATGCACTTGCACACATCTCTATATATATTTATAATTATATCTAAAATCTGGTAATACCCAAACATTTCCTAGTTCCATGTTGTTACCTAAGCGGGCGCGCTCGCTGCCCGCCAGTGCAACAGCACCAGACGCTGCCTCTGCCTCTGCCTCTGCTGCTGCTGCTGCTGCTGCTGCTAAAGCGGGCGCCAAGTGCAGCCCTGCATATATATACATTTGAATACCCTGTAAATGTGTGTAACAGACGAAAGGAAGCATCTGCGACGCACATATTCTTAGTCAGCAGGACGCACTGCGTCGCTCTGTTACCACCCAAGCTTGTGCCCGTTTTTACCGATATTTTCTGTAATTTTTCATGCGATCGATTAAAATTGATTGGCGACATAACCTCGAAGATTATGGAAAGAAGTGGAATAGGTTAAAGCCTTTCGCTTTGGTATTTGCACACTTTTGCACACGTTTGCACTGAAAGTCGCTAAAAGATCCGTTTATAAACCTTAAAGTTAATCTAGAAATGTTTTAGTTATATTTTATGTTTTTGTATAGATGAAATCTGGAATCTTTGTAACAAGACCTTTGTTTTCTGGACTGCTGGGTAACTGCTAGTCGAGCATGCCCGCCCGCAAAGTACTATTACTTGTGTCTACGCCTACTGTAGACACTCGCTAAAGTGCCTCGATTGCAATTTCCATAGCTATTCAATATAATTCAATGTGGCCAAAGTAAATATTTGTTACGCTTATTTCAACAAAGTACAGTCTTCATATGTTAGGACGTCCAGAGCTTTTGAATTTCCTCAAAGACAAAGTTAGTTTTTGATTTTTAAGCCCAAATTGAGTTCGTTTAATGAATTTATTCGCCAAGCGAACTAAGTAAAACAAAAGCGAAATATTTGAAGATCACATTAGAAATGTAAACATGCCCAATCAATCTTCTCAAGATTAGCAAAGGTTTCTTTTACCTATTATATGAAAAATAAATACTTTTCCTCGCCGAAAGTCTGACAAAACAATTAGAACTGTAGAAAAACTATAAATTTTTAGCTAATGCCCATACAAAATTTGCCTTCCCAACTAATGAAAATGTCGGCTGAATTTGAACCGGCGACCAGCCAAAGACTCTGCCAAAGATTGTTTTCTTATACCGACCACAAGCCTGAATAATCCTTATATTATGTTTCTTTAATATAAGAAATAATAAACGAACCGTTCGCCATAAGGTGTGTTCACTGTAAGGTGGGGCCCAAAAGTGTGTGAGCCACGCGCACAACACACGCCCACACAGACAATTGCATGCGAAACGGTTGCCAACGCGAATTCCTTTTGAATGCATTTTATATTGTATTTTGTATTTTGCTTTTGGATTTTGCAGGTTGATGAGGATTACATACAGGACAAGTTCAATTTAACTGGATTAAATGAGCAGGTGCCCAACTACCGTCAGGCTTTGGACATGATATTGGATCTGGAGCCGGGTAAGTTGTTAAGTTGGAGCTAACAATAAATCATCTATTGATAACAATATTCTTGCACTTGCTTTTGCAGAGGATGAACTTGAAGATAATCCCCTGCAATCGGACATGACCGAACAGGCAGCTGAAATGTTGTACGGGCTCATACACGCTAGATATATATTAACAAATCGTGGCATCGCTCAAATGATTGAGAAATATCAAACTGGCGACTTTGGACATTGCCCACGTGTCTACTGCGAGAGTCAGCCCATGTTGCCTTTGGGTGTGTATTACAGTCTATATATACCTATACCTATATCTATATCTATATCAATGTCAATGTCTTTATATTGTATTAGGCCTTTCGGATATACCCGGCGAGGCAATGGTGAAAACCTATTGCCCCAAGTGCATTGATGTTTATACACCAAAATCATCGCGTCATCATCACACTGATGGCGCCTATTTCGGCACTGGTTTTCCACACATGTTGTTCATGGTGCATCCCGAGTATCGCCCCAAGCGCCCTACTAATCAATTTGTTCCACGGTAAGCTCCAGCTCCCATAAATCCCAATAATAATAGACCAATTTTTATTAATAACGAAACGTGTAAATATATGGCATTAGAATCTATATATATATTCATGTGATGGGCCTAGATATGCTAGTCAAATAAGATATTACAAAAACTATGCCTATGCTTCTCCTTTTGCTTTTGCTGTTGTATATTTTGTATGCTTCCTGATCACGAGTTGATCTTCCAGTTAGTTAATATACACATTAAACTCAAACAACAATAAACAAGGCGTTAGAGACAGCATTTTTTTGGGTCACGTTTCTTTGGCGCGACATTCGTAAACGTTTTACTGGCTTGATCAGAGACACTGGGCATGAGCTCTTATTCCTTCAACTTCAGCTCTGGGTGCACTTCTTAAGGAATACGTGGGTTAGAGGGTTTCTTAAAGCATAGTTTTTGTCTTTCTTAGCACGCATTTTGTCACTTCCTCTTTGTGCACGACATTCGTAAACGTTGTAGCTAGCTCTATGTGCACTTCTTAAGGAATACGTGGGTTAGAGGGGATAGGAGTGAGTTATTGTTGCTCTTTTTTTATGCCAGATTCTTAAAGCATAGTTTTTGTCTTTCTTAGCACGCATTTTGTCACTTCCTCTTTGAGCGCGACATTCGTAAACGTTTAAGCTAGCTCGTCATATAAACTAGTTAACTACAGGTATTATTGGGTCTTAGCTTTATTATTAGAATTGTACATAAGACATTAAACGTATATAGATAAAAAATAAAATTGCTAATTATTGTATTCTCTTTATATTCCATGCACCACTCGCGCTGTACCCACTTCTGATGTTAACCGACTATACCAAAAAAAAAAAACCAAAAAAAAAAAAATACACCCCATCTGCAGTCTGTACGGCTTTAAAATTCACAGCTTAGCTTATCAAATTCAGCTGCAGGCAGCAGCCAATTTCAAAATGCCACTACGAGCGGTAAATTTAAAATGAAATTTCTTATTAACATTTTTTTTATTGACTAAAAAACAAAACAAAAAAAAACCAAAAAAAAAAAAAACAAACAAAAACAAAACAAAAAACAAAAACAAACATAAAATCCACTGAAAAACATGCAGCAAAAAAGAAAAACGTAAACTAAGCATATATATATATATATCTATATATTT